GGCCGTGTTCTCATGACTCCGAGATCCATAGATGTGGTGTTGTTGTTCGTGCTGTTGGAGGGCTCCACCTCTGGGAGTGGAGCTTCCGGCAGATGACTGACTACTACTCTGACGCATGTGGCGGCCACGGTAAGGCATTGACATGGGATGAGGGCGGAATGCGGGGTGAGGCGGTCCGGGTGGTTCGGACAGAGGATGATGTAATGGATCCTCGAGGATAGAAGGCATAGATGTGCCTGTGCTGTAGCGATGCCAATCACGACTGTTTGTCGCCGTGGAAGCGGAGGGTGTCGGCAGAAGCGGCTGAGCAAACATGCGGCGGGGTGGAGAGCTTGCGCTTGATACACTGCCCATGGTGTATAGATCGCGGTTGCTCTGGACTGTTGTGACCGAGGGAGATGGTAGAAGGGGCTGAGCAACCGTTCGACGTGGCGGTGAGGGTGTCCGTTCCCTGATAGGTGCTAGGATTGACGAAATGCTATGTCGATCATGGTTACTAGGAACTGTGGAGGGGGGCGGTGATGGGAGCAAAGGCTGAGCCACAGTTCGCCGAGGTGGTGAAGCTGTTCTGCTGGATGTCGACCTCGATCTAGGAAGAGGCACAGATGTCGGTATGTCTTCCACAGAAGATGATCTCAGTGCCGGAACATGAGTGATGATGTCCTTTCCCGGGCCTTGTGGTGGTAGAGGAGGGCGTGTCAAGTTTCGAATCACAGTATCCCAGTCTGACATGGGTCTTTCCCTGAGAACCATTGGTCGTTGCTCACCATTCCTTTTGCGATCCTTGAGTTCGTCAATGTGTTTCTGAATACGTATCTTGGACTGTTGGCGCTGCACGTCGCGGATTGAGATCTTAGCATAGGTATGCGCAATCTTGTCTTCGTAGACGCGTCGGGCTGCTTCTTTGAGGAAGTATTGTCGTGTACCGTCAAGCACAGGAGGCTTCCAGTTGACCCATCCGTTCTCCGCCGCAATAACAAAGGCTTTGGGATCCGAGGGGTGGAACGGGCCAGTGAGCTTGAGAACAGTATCAAGGCCAAAGGTGAGGAGGTGGTAGATCCATTCGTCTGGTCTGGTTAGCAAGATCCATGATTATGCAGCGGATAGACGAACCAAGCATCATCTCCTCGCCATCAATATCGCCACCACGAATGTCGGTGTTGTCGTAAATACCGGCTTGTCGGGCTTGAACTGTGCGCCCTTCGAAGTTTTGTAGCAGGACGGAAAGACAGGTCCATAGTTCCATCATGTCGAAGAGTTGCTCGGCGGTAAGGCCGCCTTCGTTCCCTTGCCCGAAGCACTCAGGTGCACCGACCAATGTGTCGCTCATGAGGTCTGTGCTCATCATGCTGAAGGTGCAGGTCGCCTGATGGACAAGCATACCACCATTGAGCCAGTCCATCTGCGCAACAATGTCCTCCTCACGTCCTTTTCCCGAGCCAAATAGCTTACAGAATGTCCATATGCGCCATAACGCATCGTCAACCCTAGCAGACTCGGCTGGGCAGGCGCTCATGAGCGCAGCTGATATCTCTGGTCGTACGAAGGACTGGCATTTCTCCATAATCTCCAACTTGATTGTGCGGATGACTTGGATGTCTCGCTTCTGGAGCTTGAGATATGAAGTTGGGGTGTACTCCTCTGCAGGTCGTGTCGTCTCAAGGTCTGCTGCAAGTAGAAGTTCGTGTCCAGGAAAGGCGATCTCTCTAAACTCCCAGGCTGGTGGTGACATCTTTTGCAAGGTAGATTTGATGAGATCGAGTTCATGACGTTTGAACACACGATAGAAGCCTCGGTTGATGGAGGCTGCGGCGAAAAGATCGTTGAAGTGATCTAGATGTTGGAAGATGTTGAGTATGACTTTCTCAGCTCCGTCAGACGTAATGGGTGGTTTGGTGGTTTTGGTAGAAACAGCTCGCGGAGAAAACACCAGGTCCACACTGGAACGCTTGTATTGCGGAATCATAAGTGTCAATGTTCTGCTCGTGCGAAAGGACTTTCGCTTCAGCTGTGAAGCGATATGGTCTCGCGGTAGACGGTTGACTTCAACAGTCGTCCTGGCTGCCAATCGCCGCCTGCTGGATTTACGCGGGACAGCCGGAGGAGGATTATCAGGCAGTACAGCATTAGCGAAATCTCTTCGGGGCTGGCCTGTAGTATCAATAAGCTTCCCGTCTCCAGCTGACGCCTGACGCATGCCCCTCCAGGAAGGGTTGCGTTCTGCAAGGGGCGTCCCATCCTGGGCAAGCATGCGAGGATCGCTGTTGCTGCCAAACGAAGAAGCCAGTTGAGCGTGCAGGTCGAACTCAGCCTCGCTCAACGTAGGGCTGGACGCACGTGGAGGGATTGGAAACGCTTCAGTTCCTGAGGGTTTCGCCTCGTTGATCATGCCCATACTTGCATCCGCGGCTAAGTTCTGCCGCGGACCGCTCCGCTTTGAGGACCTTCGGTTCAATCGTGGCTTGCTCTGAGCTACATGGAGAGCACAAGTTGGTTGGAAGGGGAGATTCTCATCGCTAGAGGACGGGTGGATGTATTCTCGGGGCGCTATCGACGGCGGTGCATGGGATTGGCTCCCGTTGAAAGGTAGGGTGAGCTCAGAGCGAGCATGTAGAGTACCTCTAGGCGCCAGGGTCTGGCCACTCGGAAGATGCGCTGAAGGTTGGCAGGTGCTTCCTTGTGTCGGAGATTTATCGACCTCCACGCTAGTCTCTGAAGAGTGGTTGCTGTGCAGTGATGAAGCATCGCTATCTTGCGACTCGTTACACGAACTGTTAGACTCGAAGCTACTCTTGAATTGGTTCGGTGTGTATCGCGTATTCACTGGAGCGGTTTGGCGGATTGTGTGCTGTGTTTGCGGATGCGCAAGTGGAGATACAATGGAATCTCGTATGCGATGGTGGCTTGCTGACGGAGGCGAGACCTCGTGGTGGCTTTCGAGATCGGTAGGGCCCGTTTCGAGGAATGGAAGAGCGGGCAGTGGCTTTCCACAAGGGATTACCACTTGTATCTTAGGCTTCGCAGCCGGATGTCTGGCCCCGCTCGGAATGTTCTTCTTGTGCTTAGTGACCGTTTTGCGATTCTTCTTTCGCCATTGGATTTTGCCGTGCTTATATGTGCCGATGGTGCCTACAAGCGATGCGTGGCTTGATGCCGACAGTCCACCTGCAGTATTACTGGCTCCCGTTGCGACCACTGCCGAAGCAATGCTCTTCCGTCTCCTACCCCAGATAGATGTTGATCTTGAAGGCAACGGTACGGTCAAACCTGCTGACGACGGTCGGTTGCCGTCATTGCCGTCCCTGCGACCCTCGGTCGCTGTGTTGTGATTGTGAGAGGGGAGAGCCGCATCGTCTTTAGTACTTTCTGGAACTGCGCGTAAGATGGTAGCTGACTTTTTCGGCTTTAGCTTAAGTAAAGCTGACATCCTTCTCTTCAGTGCGCCAGGTGAGGCTGATCACTCAGAGCAATGTGTCAACATGGGCAGGTGGGCTTGAGCGGGTCGATTAGTGACGTATTAGGCTGCAGAAAATGTACGAGTAGCAGTCTGGAGTTGCTGAGGGTGAGTAGTTGGATAAGGGATCTCCCATCGAAGCCGTGACTCGGGCATGGTGGCAGGGCATGGACTGTATATCGTCCGAAGCCAAGATAATCATAACCTAAGGCACTGCTAGACACCACCGAGCTCCATGAATAGCCCGGCCGTGGCGTTCCGCACAGAAGATGCATGCAGCGCCCGGCGAAAGCTGAGCTGAGTGAGATGAGATGGAGGCCAACTCCGAGTGGGCGGACAGGACAGCATGGGTGGGCAGGCGGGCGAAAACCCAATGACGCACGCCCCCGGGACATGTACGGCTCCTCATTGCGCAATAAACGTTATCACAAGGATGCGTTGTAGTGAGGCATAGCAGTGGGGAGCAATCAGAGACATCCAAGGTTGTTGTGTTTTGGCGCTGGGGCCGTGCTATTTGCGGCGCGACTGCTTGCTCAGCCCTGGTGCCGCACTAATTTGGGGCCATTGTGCCGGACACGACGTCCGCCTCGAACTACTCTATAAGCACTGCGCCTTATTGATGCACCAGGCACACCTCATGTATGTCGAAACCCCACGGCACCGTGCATCGACTTCCATCTCGTTTCAGCTTCTCGACCCCAACATCACTGATCATTTGCATCTGCCTGGTCCTTGAACGACTAGCGGTGATCCAAGGTTCGCTCTAGCTGTGACCATGACGTCGCTGACGTCGCACTGCAAGGAGCTGTGCTGGCCTTACCAGGGTGAGGCTGTTGGCTACACAGAATATCTCCAACCGAAGCGGAATGATCAGAGACCTCTGGATAAACCTGGCCCCTCCAGACCCTTCGTGTAAGGCGTGCGCATGCGAATAGGAGTGGGCGTATGGCGCGGTGATACACACTACGGCCCACACGGACTTCGACATCGCACATCTAGTGCCACGATCAACTCTTAGTCCGCACATGATCGAAGGTCCGTGACTGCGACCCTGGTGCGCATTGTTTGCAAGCCGGTCACATCCGTGACGGTGGTTTCGGCTCGCATCATCGGAACCTTTCTCAGATCTTCTGTCAGCTTGGCCTTGTAACGCGTAAGGAGATAAGAGGGCATCAATTCAACCGCTTATTCGTCGTAGCGACCCGTTGCTTGGAGGTCGTACCTACTGGCTTCGATAGTATGAAAACGTGTCAACGCTGCCAACACTCAAAAGTTGGCAGAGAGAGTCTTGTATTCCGCTCCCGAATTTCGGGTAGTCGACATAGTCGATTGGAAGAAGACAACACGCTACATGCTGTGTAACGTTGCGCACAGAGCTGGAACCCCCTCTTTGTATTCTGCGCTAGCAACGAGGGCCGCGTATCTGATCCAAAATCATCGTGATGTCGAAAAAGTTTGAATCTTCATCTCTTCTTTCGCAACCCAGCGCTACTAACGCTAGCGATCGCTCTAGATCCCACTGCGGGAGATTGACATTTAGCGAGATATGGATGCCAACCAGTGCACAGAGCAGTGGCAACGCACGATCCTGAAGTATATCAACCGTATTGCAATTTCTAGACACGCTACTGACTAGACTCAGGAAGAGCAGATTGCTCAAGCAAATTCAAGAGCGGTATGGGCCTTAGCCTGTCTCAAAGGCTTACCACTGACCTCTCAGGATCGCCGATGAAATCAAAGTCACCCGCATCACCAGATCGGAACAGATCAACGTGCTGGAAGATTGGAAAGGCACCTTCACGAAGTGAGTCTGGTCTGTCTATGGTCGTAAAAGTGGTCGCTGATACCGCTAAGTCAAATCAAGGCTGACCTTGAACAATGCTCCGGTCAGCTTCTCGCGCCGCTCCTCAGCGAGATTCACGCTTCGCTTCCGTTGGAGGTCCGTGAGAATATCTACGAGCATGTCTTCGACATCAGCAAGCCGATAGTCATCCCAAGACTGGAACATCCCAAGGTCGAGATCGTGAACGGAAGACTGCAATCTGGCAGCGCTGGAGCGAGCGAGCATGCGAAAGCCATTCGCGAAGAGCTCAATCCGTTCATGCAGGACTACTGCTTCTCCGTTGCTGTGATGGGTTCATCAGCCAGTACTGAATTCCAGAACCTAGCGCTTCGCAAAACCCCCTTCTACTTCCGGGGCTCCAGAACCAGTCTAAACGTTAGACACCTACTGAATATCGAGATCCGGCCGGGGGTATACTTCCGCAATCTTGTCCGCCAATTACGTGTGTACCTTCGCAGCGACACCGCCTTTCACGACGCCGAAGATGTTGCAACGGGTGTGAGCAGAGCTCAAATAGCAAGCTATTCACAACATGTCTTTCTCGACTTACCGTCACTGTCCGCAATGTATCTTGATCGTCTAGAAGGGTTAGAGACGCTCAACTACACAGATCATGCCGTTGTGCTGGAGCTTTGCTTCCTTGCTCCCATAGTAGGTCCTGGAGGGATACTGCATGAACCGAGTACCAAACGTAATCTGTATGAGATGGTAGGATCGGTATACCGTCGTGCGAGGGATGGTGGCGCAGACGTCAAGGTACGGTATGAAAGGTTCACCACAGGAGGTGGAGAAGACTGGACGGAATATCTTGAGAGGGGCAGACGAGACGCGGTGCAGGTATGTCGTACTGCTCTGGCCATGCCTTTTAACAGGACGCTGACTTCAGCTAGTCCAAACAACAACAACAACACGCGTTCTGCGACGGCGCATCAGCAGCCTCCGCGCTCCACGACCTGTTCAACGCACCGATCCTTGTCTCTGAGGCGAACATAAGCTGGCAGCACGGCTTTTTACTCAAATACTTTCATGAATGTGGCTGCAGACTGTGCACGCAGCATAGATTGAGGATCTCAGAGCGCGTGGTACACTGCTTCATGTATCCCACTGGGATAATCTAGAAGATGAATAGATAGCCATAACTAGAGGCTATCAAGCTCAACTGTTAGACGCTAGAAGGAAGATACAGGTATTACGAAGGCTACTACCGCACAAGAGCAGTTGAGAAGTTCGTGAAATTGATGACATTCATGATATTGCCGTATACTTCTAATACTCTCAACACGAATCCAACCGTCCACCCTATGCCGTCATATCCAACACAACCCTACCCTGCAGCTTGCCCGCATGCATCTCATTGAAGATATCCGAAAGTTTATCCATCTTCTCCGTCCTGAAATGCGTCTTAACAATACCCCTCGCGGCAAACTCCATCGTCTCGATCGCCTCCTTCCTTGATCCTACCGCAGAACCAACGATCTGCAGCGCCTTGGCGACCATGACACCAGGGTTCGCGCTCTTGATGGGTACGACGTCGCCCTCAGGGATACCGACACATACCACGCGGCCGCCGAAACGAAGTAGGTCTACGGATTGAGCGTAGGCCATGTTGTTCGCTGTGCAGACGACGACGGAGTGAGCGCCGAGACCGTTTGTCAGTGCTTGAACGGCTTCGACCATGTTCTCTGTTCCGTCTACGGGGATGAAGTGCTCAGCGCCGCTTTCCATGACGATGTCTTTCTTGGAAGAGTGGTCGATGCCGATAACGCGGTGGCCAATTCCCCTGGCACTGAATTGCACGGCCAAGTGACCTAGTCCGCCTCCGGCACCCGATATCACGACCCAAGCACCTGACTCGGCGTTTGTCTTGCGGAGCGCGGAGTAGACGGTCACACCTGCGCAGAGAAGCGGTGCCGCGGCTGCGGAGTCGAGGTCGGCGGGGATGGGCGTGACGTAGTTTGCGGGGGAGAGGACGTATTGTTGGAAGGTTCCTGGTGTGTAGTATCCTGATACTTTCTGTTTACCCGAATTAGTGATCGCAGTCCAGAAGTTGGTCATAGGTATAGGTAAAACTTACTCCTGAGAAACACGAAGCGTCCATACCCGCCCTACAAGCCTCGCATGTCTCACAAATACCCGCCATCCATTTGATACCCACACGATCTCCCATCTTGACTGCCGAGTTCTCGGTTCCAGGTCCCATCTTTACGATCTTGCCTACGCCCTCGTGACCACCGACTTGTCCGGCTTGTGTGGGGAAAGGTAATGTTTTCCACGAGTTCATCATAACGCCTAGATCGGAATGGCAGACACCAGAGTGTGTGAGATTGATCAAGACTTCGCCGGCGCCGGGCTCGGGCATGTCGAGATCGACGATTTTGGTGGAGATAGAGCCGGGCGCATCGTAGATGGCGGCTTTATACTTGGAGGGAAGGGACATGTTGGACGGTTGATGTAGTGTACCACTCGATGTAGAGACAGTTCGGACGAGACGCTTCGGGGAGGGGGAAGGAGCAGTCAGGATGGGTTAATTGAAGACGGATTGAAGCAACCCGAGAGACACCTCCAGTACATATACCTTTCCCCGCACCAACACCCAAGCTCCATAACGCGTCGAGCTACCCTGACTCTCCCTTAGCTAACGACCCTATCTCTACCCCACACCAGCCCCGTCTACGGCCTTCCAACACAATAGATACGAAGTTACGCACACGGAAAAAGTGCACAACCCTCACCCACAAACTACCTCACCCATCTACCGGACCAATAACACTCTTGTCACATTCGGACCGCCATCCATGCCCAGCTGTACCTCACGATAAACACACGCGTCAGCACGAAGTATCCACAAACCCAAGGTAACTACCTAAAGAACCGAAGCCGAGGCAAACAGCTAAAACGCGTGACCACACGTAGCTGAAGTTTACCCCGCACCCGCGATTGGGGGGCAAAGCTGTAAGTGGATTGGGAACGAGGGACCAGACTAGACTACGTCAGGCGGGATGCATGTGAGCGCGGATGTGGGGTTGAGCCAAGACGTCCGAAGTTCCGTTGCTGCACATATGAGTAAGCTAAGAGTATAAGAAGTGGATTTGATCGGAAATTGGGATGTAGCAAGGCGTGCAGTCGATCTACAGTTTTTCCCTTGGTGATACAGTCGGTGGTTTGGATTTTGCGTTCCTGTGTGTATGGAGTCTGGGACGGTGGGGTAGAGCTTGTGGTGATGCGACTGTGGCAGCTTCAGCCACTGAACTTTATTGTGGAAGGCGCGTCATCGTGGCGAGCACGTGGTGTAAAGAGAAATCTAATCGATTAGAGAATTGTTTGAATATGTATGCGAAGATAATGGTTGTGAGGGGGTTGCGATAGATCTAATAGACAGCTATAGTACAAACTGTCTGCGCCCCATCCAAAGCACCCATTAAAAGTTCAGCAGCGTATGCACATGCTGCGTAGCACCTCCCTTTCCTTCTACTAGAAAGGCGTATCGAAAAGTGGTATAGTACAGAATCATTCGCGCATGTAAGCGTTAAGGGCGTTAGAAAGGGAAAAACTCCCAAAGAACAGAACACCTTGGGGACCACTAGATGATCAGGATATACCACGAAATTCCCAATGATGCTTCTCCGTTCCATGCTAGAAATATGTTGTGCGCCGTATGTGAAAATTTATGCACCCTGATTAGTTATGAAATGGCTGGCGAGAAGCTCGTCAGCACTGGGGCGCTTCTCGTGATCGATGAGGAAGGTCTGCGCCAGGAAGGTTCGGGCGTCGTCGCCGGCATTGTCGGGAATGGTAGGGCTGGCATCGCCACTGCCACCGATCTTGAAGATGGCCTGCAGTTGAGTGCAGTTGGGATGCGGGTGACTTCCAGTAAACATCTCGACGACCAGGCAGCCGAGCGACCAGATATCGGCTTTGCGGGTGTAGGCTGTCTGTCGAACAACTTCTGGTGCCATCCAGAAGACTGAACCTTGAAGGGAGACGCGCTGAGCACCCTTCTTGCCGCCACCCAGTGTAGAGGCTTCAATGCGCTTGGAGATACCGAAATCGGAAATCTTGACTGAGCCCTTGTTGTCAACGAGGATGTTTGCACCCTTGATGTCGCGGTGAATGATGTCCCGGGAGTGAAGGTACGAAAGACCGGTCAGAATCTGGCGTACGAAGTTCTGGATAAGGGATTCGCCGAGCGGGCCGTAGTTCACCAGCATGGTTGCCACGGAACCACCTGGGACGTACTCGAGGAAAATGTTGAGATGGCTCTCATCAGAGTTGGAACCGAGATACTGCACGATGTTCTTGTGCTTGAGTTCTCGTAGCAGGCCGATCTCGTGTTTCAGGGCTTCGACCATGTTTGTCTTCCTACTGTCCATCTGGGAGGCGCCAGCTACAGAAGGAAGCTCGACCTGCTTGACAGCCATGAGCTCACCGGTGACGGCATGTAGGGCAAGGTAAACGCTGCCGAAAGAACCTTGTCCGATGAGAGCTCCCTTCATGTACTTGACATTGTCCCAAGAGTCCTGTTCGAGATACTCGGCCAGTTCATCGTCTGACTCTTCGCCATCCTCAGCAATGGCCTCAGAAAGGCGTTTGTTGAGTGAGTCGCCGTTCTCGGTGTTGCTGCTACTGCTACCCGTAAGGCTGCTACCCCCGTCGTCGAAGTAGGATTGTAGAGTGGTGTTGCCCTCCGGGTCTGTAATGGCAAGGGTATCCGATTCACCACCAAACGACACATATGATTTTCGGTTGGGTTCGAGAGGTGACTCCTCGTCTAGAGGTTCCAGAACAGAAGATGCCATAGAGTCACGGTACCCAGATTGGTTGGGCAGACCAAGTCGCATGACCGAAAGTGGGCGAAGTGGGCGGGCTTGAGCACCACCTTGGAGCCAAGTGTCGGCGATGGATGGTAGTGGCGGCGCATCCTTCAGGCTGGAAGCAACGCTGAAGTTGGATGCCATCGATAGACGCGAGGCTGCGCGGCTGAGTCGGTGAGAGCGACGTATCGACATGCGGACGGTCTTGTCAATCTCATCTTTTCCGACGTCAGGGAAGTAGGAGGTCAGGTCGGATGTAATGAGCTCGCTGGGAGGTCGAGCACCGTAGAACTGCTTTAGTTTCCGGGCACGAGCTTGGAAGACTGGTGACCTGTTTGGATCAGAGGGTCCTTCCAGATTCTGGGCTGTTGAGTTGATGTGGCGTTCTCGTTCTCTCGCGGATGTTGGTGATAGAGGGTAGCTGACAGCAGCAAGCGACTCGCCCGTGAGCTTCTCAATCTTGATCTGGCTGCGGTTGCTTGACGGTACGTAGACGGTGGAACTCTGCTGGAAGTTCTGTTGCGCGTAGATGCCAGCCGCAGCCTTCAGTTGGTCTTCATCC